CAGTAAAAACTTCACAAGATGAAAGCAAAAATGAAGGTAAGTTTTTGGATTTCGATATATCTCTTTTAGCTAAACAATTTTATTGTTTTATGAAGAACAGGAAAAGGAGATAACATAGAAAAGAGAAAACCAATAGGTACGAGTGTTATGGATATAGAAAGTTTGGCCTTATCAAACCAGACTGTCCAGAACTTAAGAAAGAGAAGAAATATGTGAAAGAGAAGAAGAAAGAGAAGAACGATATCTATAAGAGAAAACGCAAAGCTTATAATGATTCTTCCACAACACAAGAGAACTCTTCCGAAAGCAGTGATAGAGAAGAAGAAGCAAATCCTTGCTTGATGACAAAGAGTGATGATGAAGCCTCATCACAAGAAACTTCATCAAAAGTAAGTAGCACAAAATCCTCAAATTCATATGATGAGTTGTCTAAAGCCTATCAAGAAATGTTTGAACATCTTGAAAGACTAGCTAAGAAACATACTGCACTTAAACAAAAGTTTCATGCATTAGAAAATATTGTTGGTATTCTTGAAGAACAAAATATGTGCTTAAAGAAAGATGTTGATAAATTTAAAACTTTGGCTAAAGATAAAGAAGTTGCTAAACCTTGTGAAAATTGTAATCATTTGGAAAATGAGATTTTCAAGTTAGAGAAAATAATGAGCAAGTTTTCAAAATCTTCTGGAAATCTTGATTCTATACTAGGTTATCAAAGAGGGGATTCTAGAAAAGTTGGACTTGGTTACAAACCCAAAGAAAGTCTGGAACCTTATAAAACAATTTTTGTGAAAGAGTCAATGAAAACAGATGTGAAACCAGTTTCAAAAACTTTAAGAAACTCATTTAGACATTTTCAAAGAAAATCAACATGTTTTTATTGCATGAAATTAGGTCATACATCAAATAGATGTTACATAAAGAATTTTGGTATATCTAATAGCAAATATGAATGGGTGCCTAAAGGGTCAAAGCATTTACACATGTCTAGATGATAAAATTCTCGCAAAATAGTTTTCTACTGTGATAATCGATTATGTTGACTTCTGGAGTATGATTTATTGCTATCATAATTGATTATGTTATTTCTGTATGTACTGTGATAATCGATTATGTTGTCTTCCAGAGTGTGAATTCTTACTGTGATAATCGATTATGTTCTTTTTCATTATGTTGTGATAATCGATTATGTTGTCTTCTAAAGTGAAATTTCTTGCTGTCATAATCGATTATGTTGATTCTGAAGGTGTTGTGATAATCGATTATGACAGAAAACTTTTGAAAATTTGAAATTATTATAGTTTGATATTTGAAAGTTTGAATTTTTAAAATCTGAATTTATGAAAATTTGAATTGATTAAAGTTTGAAATTTGAAAGTTGGATTGAAAATTTGAAATTTGAAAGTTTGAATTTTGAAAACCTGAATTTATGAAAATTTGAAATTATTAAAGTTTGAAATTTGAAAGTTTGAATTTTGAAAATCTGAATTTATGAAAAATTGAAATTATTAAAGTTAAAAATTTGAAAGTTTGAGATTTTTGAAATTTGAAAAATTTGCAATTTGAGATTTTTGAATTTGAATTGGAATTTGAAATTTGAATTTGAAATTTAGGATTAGAAATTGGAGTTTGAAATTTGGAATTTGAATTTGAAATTTGAAATATAAGTGAATTTGAATTTGAAAGTTGTTTAAATAAGAAGACTGCAATTGGGGGAAACTATTGCATTCCATTCCATTATTTCTACAATTATTCCATTCCCCTATCTTTCTCTCTCTTCATTTGCCTTGGGCATCCTAGATATTGCCTCCTTAATATGATGTTCTTCTCTATGACACTTTGTGATGCATTATCTTCTCTGCCTTGATTTATGTACTAATCTGTGCAAATTTGTGCTCAATTTCTATTGCAATATTTTTCATAATTATCAATGAACAGAGAGAGATTTGGATGATATTAATCTATGAGAAACAAGGGGAGATTTTTTTTCTCTTACAATATTTTTTTTATTATCAATGAAATAGGGGGAGATTTTTTTATGAATTAAAATCTGTGTGAAATTCATTTCTATCTTTGAATTAAACAGGGGGAGTTAAGAGAAGTTTTTGCTCATATGAGTTAAGGGATTCTTGTTATTAATATATTCAGGGGGAGATTAAGAGACTCTGACACTTGATACAAATCTGTGCTACACTATATTGTGCAAATTTGTGTTAATCATGAGTTGGCTATATAGAGTCAAGCATTTTAATTCATTTCAGGTGTTTCCTTGATCATCATCAAAAAGGGGGATATTGAAAGCATTGAGGAGGAGATTGATGAAAATGTGAAACATGTCCCTACATTCCCAAGAGATGATTTTGGTGATGATTCAAGTCAACAACATTCAAGACTCAAGCAATCCCAAGATATGATTTTGATAAAGATTCCATTCAAACTTCAAGCAAGCCCAAGATGAAGCCCGAAGACTAGATAGAGTCTTAGAATACTGGATATGGAGGTACAAGTTGATGAAGTGGTATTATGCATAAGCCTCTAAAGCAAAAGTGTGATAAAACTTTGTAACATGACCTTTTTCACTGTCATAATCAATTATGATGCATCAGAAATGAAAAAATGATTTTCTCTTTGTCATAATCGATTATACTGGTAACATAATCGATTATATTTGTCATATACTAAAAAATATATCTGTTTCGAAGAATAAATATTTTTTAATACATCCTGATTTTTCTCTACGAAAGTATTAATGACCAACGACTATTTTCTGATGTTATTTTCCTATTTAAATAAGTTTTGATGAAAAATAAAATACATACAATTATAGAATTCGAAAATACAATTTTACATTCATTCAGTTTTAAGAAAAGAATTTTGAGCAAGGCAATAGAGATATTTTACGCCTTCTGAGAAAACCCTCTTCTCTACTACCTTATGCATTTTCATTGTTAATCACACTTGTTCTTGGAGGTTGGCATTCTACAAGCTTCTTTAATTTGTTGTCTCCATTACCCAAGTGTGACTGTTCTTATTTTATTGCCTTCATCCTTTCTAGGGCTTAGGAAGTTGATGTTAAATTCCATGTTTAGGGTTTAAGTGGTTGATGTTAAATCCCTTTTTTACGATTTAGGTGGTTGTTGTTATTTTATTGTCTTAATTCCCTTTTTAGGGTTTAGGTGGTTGTTGCTCATCCCTAGTGTGATTCTAGGGAGGTGTTCATCCTTAGTGAGATTATAGGGAGGTGTTCATCCTTAGTGAGATTATAGGGAGGTGTTCATCCTTAGTGGGATTCTAAGGAGGTGGTTGTCTTTTTAATTAATTTACTCTTTACTAGTTCCTCTGCTGAGTTGATTGTAATTTGTAAACGGAATTTGAAAGATAGTGAATTGGGGTCACTCTTGTGTTAGAGGTGACTGGGAACTGGATGTAGGGTTGGCTATACCCGAACCAGTATAAATTATTGTGTGCTCTTCTCTTCACTTTATGACTCTTGGTTTTTGTTTATTTTATCGCTTCCTACATGTGCGCGCTTGAATCTTTTCCTTTATCTCTCTAATATATTGCTTTCACTTTATCTATATTTTATCTGATAATTAAAATTGAATTAACAAATTATTTGACATCTTAAATCAATTTTTAATTTGACATCTAATTTAATTTTTACATCTATTCACCCCTCTATAACATAGGAAACCACAACCAGTTGGCGAGTTGATAGAAGTACCCCTCGACGTCAGTAAAAAAAGCTAAGTTGGGAAGCAATCTAGAATTCGAGCTGCAAGAATGCATCATCATAGTTCTAAAAGCAAATATTCGTGTGTTTGCGTGGAGTTCACATGATATACCCGGAATTAACCTGGATTTCCTATGCCATAAGCTCTTCATTGACCCCAAAGTGAAACCAGTAATACAGCGACAGAGAAAGTTTGGCCCCAAGAAGCATCGAGCAATAAAGGAGGAAACTCATAAATTACTGAACATCGGCCATATTCGATACCCGACCTGGTTGTTAAATGTAGTAACAGTGAAAAAAGCATCAAGAAAGTGGTGATTGTGCACAGACTTCACAAATCTCAACAAGGCCTGCCCGAAGGATTCATACCACCTCTCGAATATCAACAATCTTATTGATGGGGCATCAGGGTATCAACTCTTAAGTTTCATGGACGTGTACTCGGGATATAACTGGATATCCATGCATCTGAAGGACGAGGATAAACTAGCCTTTATGGCCGAAGCTGAAAATTACTACTACAAAGTAATGTCAGGTCTCAAAAATGCAGAGGTCACCTACCAAAGATTAATGGACAAAATCCTTGATCCAATTCTGGGGAAACATGTAGAAGCCTACGTCTATGACATTGTGGTCAAATCAACATCATGAGATGACCATTCGGAGAAGTTGGCAAAACTATTTGCAACCCTCAACAAATGCTCCCTTAAACTAAATCTAGAAAAGTGTATATTTGGCGTAAGATCGAGAAAATTCTTGGCCTTCGTGTTAACACATAGGGGAATCGAGGGGAATCCCAAGAAATGCTCGACCATCATTAATATGCGAAGCCCCACTAATGCCAAGGAATTCCAACAACTATCGGGTTGGATGGCGTCGCTTGTACGCTTCCTATCAAAAGGAGGAGATAGAGGCTTCCCATATTTTCAGTGCTTGCGGAAAACAAGCAATTCATTTGGATGCCTGAATGTGAAGAGGCATTTCGTGCCCTAAAAGAATTTCTATCGCTTCTTTCGATCCTCTCAAAATCAGAACCAGATCATGCCCTCCAGTTGTACATCACAGCCATAGACTGAGCAATGAGTTTGACTTTAACACAAGATATTGATGGAGTAGTATGACTGATATATTATGTCAGTCGTGTTTTACAAGAAGCCAAGAGCAGATATCTCAAATTTGAACGGGAAGCCCTCGCTATCATGACAACCGCCTGAAGACTGAGACACTATTTTCAGAGCTTTCCCGATTTGGCAGGTCAGATGGTTAAATGGTAAATCGAGCTATTAGAGTACGACATCTCGTACAAACCACAAGGCCCCATAAAAGCCCAGTTCTTATCCGTAACTATGAGCTGAACTTGGAAGAAGGGAAAACATGGATATTATTAGTTTATGGGGCCTCTAACCTCAGTGGTAGCAACACGACACTACTGCAGAAAAGGCTTTTTACGTCGGTTAAAATGGGTCTTCTACGTCGGTTAAAGCGACGACATAGATACAGGGGTCATAGAAAGTAAGCCTTTCTACGTCGGTTAGTCAGGGAACCGACGTAGAAAGTCTTACTTTCTATGTCGGTTAACACTGATAACCGACATAGAAAGTCTTACTTTCTAACTTTCTATAACCCCAGTATCTATATCGGTTAACAGTAACCGTGATTGTATATGATATCAATGTCGGTTATGCTTATAACCGACATAAAATGTTAAACTTTCTACATCGGTTATGTCATTAACCAACGTAGAAATTCTACGTCAGTTAATGACATAACCGACGTAGAAAGCATTATTTTTTTTTTACAGAACCTGCATTTTCTTCACAGATCCTACCTTTCTTCAAGTAGACCTGCCTATTCATCATAGTTGTAGACAAATATTCAGAGTTCCAAACACTTGTACAGACAGATATGCACAGTTCATATATAGTTTCAGACAGATATATATGTACATATATGAAACATATTGAAATCAATATATGTACCTCAGTTCCAGACAGTTCATTTACTTAAACGAATGTAAATTTGCTAACTTAAATCAATTCAATCAAAATTGTTACAAGTCAAATTTGCTATGAAGATTGAATACTTAAAAGGAAAGAAGCCCACTGCTCTCTAATATCATCTAACACTTCAATCTTCAATGGACATGAGTCTGTAAATTCCTACATATTGAAACATTTCAGATTGAGAAACCATTTACATAATTGGCATATTTGACTTAATTATAGTATATTTACCTCCCTCCATGAGTTAATAATATTTTTTGCTACGATGGTATGCATGTGCTTCATCACATAATACCCGCACTCATGGCTTCCCAGTTGGCGTGGACACTACAAGTTAAATACATGTCAGATTAACTTTAAATGACAAATTGAACAACAGTAAGAGGAATGTTTGGTCACCTTTGGTGCAATATACGTCAACTTCTTTCTAGCATGAGATGGAAGGCCTTGCAACCTTAGGTGAGCTTCCAAAGCTCTACAAAAGGACAAATAATTTTGGTGTAAGTGCACATATGATACAACAATTAAAAAAACCAAACTTACGCATCTATGTGCTTTCTAATATCCAAATCATTTGGTTTCTTGTGTAATGAACACAAGAGAATCACAACAAAATTGTCGAGGAACAATGATTATGAGCTGCCAATGACCCTTGCACATTGAAATAATATTAGTAAAATTTTAGTTTTACATAAATGTGCATTAATTTATAAGATGTATACTTACTGATGCAAGTAAGGTGCTAAGTAGACTTCTTTGCCCCCATTTTGAAATGTCTCTATTAAGTACGTTTGCACCTCTTCAGCTTTATTCCCAACGGACTGAATGGCAACAGGGTCAACAAATCGATAGATAAAGGCAATCTTCCTCTCAACACACAAACGATGTAAATACCTTCAACATTGAAAATAAATAAAGTTATAAAATAATGTACCAGTGAGAATATCAAAAATATGTAAATTTACTTACAATTCCCAAAGCTGCAACACTGATACACATAACATATCTGTACCAGCGAGAATATCAAAAATATCCCTTTGGAGTAAGAAAAAAGGGATCGTCTTGGTCCTGCATACGACTTCGGGTGGCATATCTAACTGTATGGGAGTGGTCCCGATAGTCGCTGCTAGTGCACCGAGTCGCTGTAAAGCACTCGGTGGTGGTGGTGATTCATGCACAACTTCCTTTGCTTTTTCAGCCTCTTTCTATACAAGTACCAAAAATAAATAACATTAATATACATCAACATATCAAAAAATAATAAGTAAAAAGGATAAATGCATGACACAACCTGTGCATGTGTTGGGATGGGTCTTGTTAATGAAACTGGCCATAAGATAAAATTTTCAGGTGCCTGTCCCACTGTTTGAACCTCTTCAGTGGGAATAGGGATTGGGGCAGCAACATCCCGAACATCTACAACCACCACTCTTATCATATCATGTCCAATACTCTGGTGGTGGATGGTTGACCCCAATGCATACATTTTCCCTAAGGTAAACAAATGATAAAATATTTTAGACTATATAAAGCTTAACAGTGTACCAAATACATGTCAAAGATATAATACGTACCGTATGCCACCAAATGCTCGGGAGGACCCGCAACATACAACTCACAGTCAGCAATGTCAGTAGGAGCAAACTCCGCCCCTCTATCGGGAGCATCACAACTCTCCTTTGTGCCGACATGAATCGGGGATGCCTCTCGTGCGGGGACGAAGGTTGAGAGGACAAAGATGCCAACTCTGCTCGCATTGAGCTCAATAACTCTGCCTTCAAGTCAGAGTACACCTCATCTCGAATCTCCTTCCTAATTTGTTGTTTGAGGGACTCAAACTCCAACTCATTCAGATGCCTCAAAGTATGAGTTGCCATGGATGGGGCACCAAAGTACTGTCTAATGCCCACCACTCGTCCAGCAGCACGAACACGTCCAGGATGCTCTGGGGTACCAATGGCCACTGCCAATATATCCTGACGGCCATGTGGGTGGAATGATCCCTGAGTGCTCTGCTCAACCAACTCATCCTACAACACAAAGGAATGATTTTTTAGCAAATACATATGCCTATTGTAGTATAACATATATAATTAGTTTAGGATATGCTACTTACAATACGTTGAGCTACAACATTAGTTTGCTCAGATAATTAATTCCCTAATGAGTTCTGGCGAGCTCTCTTCCATTTATCATGGCGTGAAGGGCGAGTGACAGAACTCACAACCGAGTCATCTGAAGGTTGACTTGAAGATGTCTCCTTCATCATCTTCTCCTCCAATTTCTCATAACCCCCACGAGACAACCTGTGGGGGTGGATATTCTTTCTCTGAATATCCTGTGCCTTCTGCCGCTTGGCCTGTTGCATTCCATGTTAAATACCAAATTTAAAACCTCTATTTAAAAAAAATGACTGCAAACAAATGACAAATGTGCTAACCTGAAACTTAGGGTCTAAACGCTAAGTCCGAAATGCCTGCCATGTCTCCTCATCCAAAAGCGATACTCGGTCACATGGGTTCTTGTTGCTCAATGCCCCATATATGTATCTACTAGTCGAGATCACTCTTAAAACCTCTCCAGCGTTCCCAGACATATGAGATCCACTTTGTCCTCAACAAAGTGGTGTTAGGGACATCATATGTGACCTACACAATAAAAATAACATGAAGTTCCCAAAAAGTTAAATTTATATACATGTTAAATGCTCAATAAGAGTAGGTACCAAGATACTCGCCAAATCTGCTTCTTCGGTGTCTCGGAACATGGTCCCAATCCTCAATAAGAATACTAACCTTGCTTCTCCCAAGCAAGGCCACATAGCTAGTGAATCTAGCACTGTGCTCTCTCGTGGCTCTACCTGTTTGCATGTCAAACTGGATAGGCAATTTTTGATCGGAGCTACGGCGATATTCAAGTCCCTCAACCGTGTAGCACGCCTACCCTTTTCCTGGTAGACGGCCGACTCGATCACCACCTTGTGTAGGAGGGGGGACTGTGTAGGAGGAGGGGTACCAGATGAATCTGCCATATCTGTGTTCAAAGAAAAAAATAATAGTTATTAGTTTAGACAATATGACTGAAGATAAACAAAAAAGTGCATACATTATCAAGTTGGAACATTCTCCCAAAATCCTTCCATATATGGTCATAACGTGTAGCATGCACATCATCTATTTCTACATTAACACTCAAGTTTGGCATATTTGAAGAGAAACATGGTGTCTCTGGTATATCAAGTACTAATTCATCATTCTCATGAGAAGTATACATGGGTTTTCCTTGTAGAACCATCGACCATCCTTTGTTAGCGGGATCGAGTGACATAAAACACTTGTTTTGCACGAGATGCCATGATAAATGGTTCTTCGGTATAACGAGTATTTTCAAGGTTAACCAAGGTAAATCCAAGATCGTCGGTGAAGATGCTAGTATTGAAATCAACCCACTTACATTTAAAAATAGGTACTCTGAATATCGTGTAATCTATTACCCAAATCTCTTCAATTACACCAAAGTAGCCCATTGACGCCCTTATCGGATATTTATCCTTTGAACTCGAGAAATGCATTGATTCAGCCACCACCATGACTCCACTATTTTGCATTGTGCTTATTTCATCTTCTCCCTTTGTATAAAATGAATAGTTATTTATATCATACCCACCCCAACATATCACATCAAAGTTTGGCTCACATGCTAGCCACTTTAGTGTATCGAAGTTGTATTGTCACCTTCAACTTGTTGTTTAAACCACTTCAAAAGCTCTTGTTGTATTCGGTGATCACCCACTTTTTAGGCATACGTGGATTATTTCGCTTCACAATGTCTTTATGATCACTTAAGTAGGGGATGACTTCTTCACTGTTATTCAATATGTACAAATGCGCTTGAAGTACTTCATCTCGACACATTGTCACAACTTTTGCACCTCGAGTTCTTCTACCAAGACCTATTCCATGGTAACGAGTCTTAGGTAACCCTATAGCTTCAACTTCTGATAAGTATTTTGTGCAAAACTCAATAGATTCCTCTGCAATATATCTTTGAACAATTGATGCTTCAGGACGATATTGGTTCTTCACATACCCTTTTAATATCTTCATGTATCGCTCAATAGGGTACATCCATCGTAAGAAAACTGGACCACAGATTCTAACTTCCCTGGCTAGATGAACAATCAAGTGAACCATAATATCAAAAAATGATGGAGGAAAGTACATCTCAAATTGACACAATATGACTACAGCCTCATTCTCTAACTGATCCAAAACATCCGGGTCCATAACTTTACTACATATGACATTAAAAAAAAAGCATAATCGAGTTAAGGAATATCTAACATTCTCTGGTAAGATACCTCGAATAGCCACAGGTAGAAGTTGTTGCATCAATACATGACAATCATGAGATTTTAACCCAAGCAATTTTAGATCTTTCATAGATACAAGTCTCTTCACATTGGAAGAGTAACCAAATGGAACCTTCACACCTCGTAAAAACTCACAA